AAGTTTTCAAATTAGAATATAAACTATCACTCTTACCAGTTTTAAATATTTACATAACTGCAGTGTAGTCATTTGCTCATTTAATATCATTCACATCTTTTTTTTTTAAATAACCTAATGTATCTTGTTCTGTGATAGACACTAGGGGGGTTATAAACAGATCAGTTTCAAGAAGCTCATTGTGTAGCAAGGACAATAAAACATGTGGAGAGATAACTATGATATAACGTATAGCATGACAAAATGCAGAGAAATGCAACGAGAGCTTATAAGATTGTCTCTAGCTGAGAATTCATTCATTCAACAAATATATGCAATGCCACACATGCAGAGCACTGATGTAGGGACAGATAGGTGAACAAAACGAAACAAAAACTTCTGCTCTTTGCAGCTTGTATTCTAATATAGAACTGGGAAGCTTCCCTTTACTCAGACAGTAGACATTATTGTGGGCCTACTCTAAGCCAGGCAGACACGGAGGACAGAAGGAAAAATGAAGATAAATGACAGTGATCTCACGGAAAAGGTCACATTTAAGTTCAACGTGAAGGTCAAGTAGAGCTGAGGAAAGTCGAGAGGACATTTTAGGGATGAATGAAGTATCTCAATGGGGTAGAATCAGAACTAGGTAGTTTTCAAGAAAGGGAATAGTGAAATATGGAGACATGGCCAAGTTACATCAGGTCAAGTATCGAAAGATATGTATTTTGCTAGATTTGTTTGCTTATTTGGTGATAAAGCATGAGCAGAAAGCAGTGATTTAGTAAAATCTACCTTAGGACAATAGGTATGGAATGGACTAATGTGGGAAAGTACCAAAATAGGAAAACTAGTTTGAAGATTGTTGAAATAGACCCAGATAATATATAATAAGGGCCTGTAAAATGAAAGTGACTTTATGAGATAGACTAAAATGCTATACTTGAAAGATAAATACAAATTTATATAACAGGTTAGAATTGTCTGACAATTTAAATAATCAATTGTTATTGAATGTGCTATCTCCTCAGACGTAGAAAAAGAAATAGGGAGAAATTCAGCTAATGTTCCTCTAACTTTTTTTTAATTTATTAATTTTACAGAAGAACTAAGTTTATTTGTACACAATCCTACATTAAGAAATATAACTATGAATATTTCTAAGACTCAGTAGAAATATTCCTTTAGTCAATTTTGATTTACATGGATGGAAGAAGATAAATCTTAAAGAACTAAGGACGCTGCAAGGGAAAAATTACAATTTTTTTCCCTTTTTATTTTATTCCTGAATCTCTTTAAATAGTAAAAGCTGGCACTGTGTATATTACATTAAAGCATCTTGCATTGCAAATGAGTCAATTAAGCCAGGACCTATGGGTTTTTTACATCATTTTTCACGAAGCCTTTCCAGAATATGTCTCCATTTATGATGTGTCTTGTTTAACAATAAGTCACAGAAGGAATTTGAATGAGGGACCATGTTTCTGGCACATTGGGCAGTGATACAGGAAAGATGAAGGTTCGTGATGGCACCACCCATAGGAGTGCTACTTCAGACTCCCTACCTCAGCTTCATCAGAAAAATTGCAAGATTTAGTTGCACTTATGTCTCATTATCTGTGTGCTGCAGGTTGAGAATAATTGCTGAATAAATTAGCATCAGATCAGAGAGCATGAAATTAAGGACACAAATAAAGTGAGTTGCAACATGGTAAATTAAAAACAAGTTGAAGACTTCCTAAGTTCATTCATGAAGAGCTACATTTATGAAGGAAAAATACAGTTTCAATTCACATGGAACAAAAAATAAGACCCAGAAATATTTTAAATATTTACAATTTGCCTGACTTATATATGTAACTTCATGGCAGCAATCCAAAATAGAATACTCCATTAGGAGATTAGAAATTTAAAATTTGTCTTCTCACCCACAGTACTGTTACTCTTAATAGACTAGCATTTACAGAATTTAGATATGATCATCTATTGATAATGACAATTGCTTCTAAAAACAAAGGTTTCAAGTGCCTATAAATATATGAAAAATTTAGCTGTCTTAGTATGAGAAGTTTAGTTGCCTCAGTCAGGACCCATTCACATAAAAGAAGTTCTGTAATAAATCAGGGGTCTATAAAAGTGGGTGAATATGGGTTCTAATAATTTTGGGTGTTGTTTACTAGTATCTGATGGATTCACTTAAACAGATTAAAATAAATACTTATTCACTACTATAATTACCTGCAATTTTGTTGACACACACACAAATATATCTTAATTTAATCTGCATAACAATCTCATAAGGTATGTATGATTTTCTGCCTCTTGTGTGCCATTGAGGCTCAAAGTGTTTAAGTATGGTGACGATGGATTGGTTTAGGTTTAGGCATAACAGGTTTGCATAAATATTTAGGACATCTGTGTGTCTTCAAGGAGCAAATATTGTTTTTACATAGAAGCTAAAAAATATATATGCAAAAGAGACAAAATTAGAGGGAAGATTTGAGTGAGAGTTTTGGACACATGTAGGAAACTTACAGACAGTTGCAAAAATCCTTACCTAGGCACAGTGTTCAAAAGAAGGAGAAGTTACTTCAGAGTGAAGTGATGAGGGACTGTTTTGTGGAGGTGATGGAAGTTGAATAGGGTTTTGAGGGAACTGAAAAGATTGTGAATATGAGGGTATAATTTTCAGAGAAAGAGGCAACGTAGGCAAGACAAGATATCAAGTACATTAAAATGGACTAAGAATGAAATTGATAGGGAGGAGCTCAGAGCACAGGAAGAAAGATAATTGGAATAGCAATAACTATATATTTATTAAGTACCTACTCTGTGCCATGCCCATTCTAAACTTTACCTATATTAATTCATGTCATCTTTACAACATCACTCTGAGGTATTCTTACTCCATGTCACTGATGAGGAAACTAAGGCTGAATGTTTAAATAACTTGTGCAAAGCCACATACTAGTTTATGGCAGAACCAAAATTAAAATCAGATTCATGTCTAGATCCATAGTTCATGTTCTTGACCATTATACAATACTGTCTTTCATTGTAGTAAGAGTGATCTGACACTGTTCTAAACATCACATGTTAAGTTATTACAGAGGGTAGATTGGCTGCCTATAGAGCTTAACATTTACCATGGGTAATAGGAAGTCATGGTCAGAGTTTATGTGAGGAAGTTAAATTTGGCAGCCATATTTAAGGATGAGAAGAAGACATGAAATTTATAAAATACTTGCATAATATTATTACTATGACTATCATTAAAAACTATATTTTATATTAGATAATACCATTCTTGCATAGGAAATAATTTTACTCAATCATTGTTATTATAATTCTTGTTCCTACAGTATCTAACACCACACACTATCACTGATGTCCGTTAAGGGTCCTTCCCCTCAGGTAGAATATAGTCATATTCAAATTCTGATTTCATTTTATTGTAGTGGTGACCATCTTCTTCATGTTATATTCGTATTTCAAATATTCCTGACCATTCATTGTAGTGTATAATTTTTGTAAAATGCTTTAATTTCTTTTATTCCTTTCAAAGAATGTAGTTTTCCTTGTCCCTCATTTGCATCTCTCTTGTCCCTGCCTCCCACCTTTCTTTAGGAAATTTTTTGTTCTGATAAGACCTCAGAATGTCCTTCTTGCTCCAATCATACCCTTCTTGGGTAGCCTTCAAGGGGTAAATAAGGTATGGGCATGTACCCAATTGGAGGAAGAAAACGCATCTAAGTTTTGAAGAAACCCATAAATCTGCAGGTTATTTTATTGCTATGCTACATTCCTCTATGAACATTCTTACTGGAGATGTGTATTTCTTTGAGAAGTGGAGAAAAACAGTCTCCCAGCAATACTGTCTGATTCAGAAGTTTAACCAATTCAACATGATACTTTGGCTGTGGGCTCTTTCTAGAACTCGTGAGGGGCTTCTACATTCTTATCTGTGATATATTGTGGTGAATCATGAGTTGGGAATTAATCTGTTATTTACCAGGTAAGTATTTTGATTTGTTTCTTTTGTCCTTCTTTATTGTGAAAAGTTGTGTTTTTCTTGTTGCTGTTGTTTTGTTTTTGATATTTACAAGCTAAATGGTACAAATAGATATCCAATCAACTGATAGTAGGTTGAGAACATTTACTGAATAGACACTGCTGGTATGCATATTTGGCCTATATATAACTCAAGACTTGATTACTAGTAACTGGAATTGAACAAATGCTTGAAAGAAAGTCTAGGAATTGTTTCTTGCCAAAGTTTTTAGATGGATTTTAGAAAGTGGTATGTAGAGTATGAGGGATAAAGGAAGGAATGAGAATACAGAGAAACAGCAAAGAAAGAATGGATTAAAAGAAAATAAAGGCCTCCATTATGTGTCACTTAAATACTTTCTGGGATGACTGAGAAGTGATTTGATATCCTTATATTGGGAAGTTCACCACATAACCACATTTATAAGACACAAATAAAAATGTAAAAGATGTAAAATCCTAGATATTTCTGAATAAAAGCTAGATTTGTTTTAACAAAATCATAAGTCTCAAGAAATTTTCCAGTCTTTGAATAAAAGCAATATATTTGCTATGAAGAACTGCTTAAAAGGCGGCAGGGCACCTGTGGTTATAGTTTTAAACCTTAAACTTCAGTGGCTCAATCAAAACTCTCAAGTTAACATTTCATTAGGATAAAAAGTGAAAGAGTCAAGAGAAAAAAATTTGATATTTTTACTCCTTCTTTTATCTGGATACACTTTCTCTGGCACAGAATTCATAGCAACTGAGTTAATACACATGTTTTGAAAAAATAAATGAAATTCAGGTCCATTAAAGACCAGCGTTGATGAGAATCTACTAAAATATAGAACAATTATTAATATTAGAGAGATTGTTAATAACATTATTATGGCTAGTTTTCCCTCTATTTGAAATTAATAATGGCCTAGTAGAAGAAATCCAGTTATTCATGATACACACACACATGCATAATTTGACATTGTACTTACTTTTGGTCACTACACCTTCTAAGTGAATGATGTTAGGATGATCAAACTGCCCCATGATACTTGCTTCACCCAGGAAATCTCTGCGTTGCTTTTCGGTATAGCCTACTTTCAGAGTTTTGATTGCCACAGGTAATTCTCTTTTTCCTGGAAGTTTCAAACGTCCACTACAAACTTCACCAAATTCACCTTGTGATAAAGATGGAAAAACACACAATCTCATTTGAAATCCTTACTCCAATAACACTCTAAAGCACTCTTTGAGTATTAAGGTTTAGACAAAATAGAGTTAAAAAGGGAGTTCAAACTTCTTTATCAACTTTCATAGAAATAAATGGCACATTGGGAAAAACCATCTACAAGTGATCATAAAACAATCTGTGGGTTTGTTAGCTTCATCCATCTCACCAGAAAAACCTCACTAGACACATTAGAAAAAAATTAAAAGCAGCTGACTGAAATGACTTCCTTCTTCCTTCTCTTTCTACTCCAGCCAGTGCCATTAATGAGAAAAGGAGAAAAGGTTACAGCAGGACAAAAAGGAATTGATTTTAAGAAAGAAATGATTCATAAATAGAATAATTGGGTGCTTGAACTGTGTAAATACTTTTGGGTATTACAAATTATATATGCATAATATATGGGACATAATATATACGGACTATAACAAACAGTAGATGGTGAAACACTATGTTCAAATGTACATATATTTGCTGGTTTATTTTTTTATTTCATAAACTGACATTTGCTGGTCTAAGTATGAACTACACAGAAGGTAGCCTTAAAATACACTCAATTACATACCACTTTGAAAGCAAGTCAGTTACGAAAGATTAAAAACATTCTGCTCTGGAATAGGACATTGATATATTACATTCTATAATCTCAGCACAAGTTAAAAGTCCAAGTTAAACACTGCCTTACCTGCTCCGATAACTCTTTCAATGGTGATGCATGAAGCTTCTATCTCCTTGGCAAATTCATGGACAGCTTGATTAGGATCCTCATAGGTATGGGGATCAATATAAGTTCTTACTCCTGGCAGTTTAACTGTAAAAATAAATGGGCATTAAAATAGAAGTGCTGTGATGGATGAGTGAAATTATAAACTCTAACACTCAACTACGGCTTAGATCCCTACTTCCTGTAATGGCCAAGCTGCAAGGACAGACCCTCTCGAGTTATAGGAGTCGTTTGTACAGCTTTCTCACTTTTATGATTTTAGAAATCTGGATTATTGGTATGTACAAGACATAGACATGTGACGACATATTTGAGTAAATACACCTTTCAACAATAGTGTTCACAGAGTCAGTCTCTGGAGCAAACTAAGACAATTTTGTTTACTAAACTGAACAGTTAAATGCTAGCGGTTTATTTGTTGTTTTGTTATTTCATGTTTCATTTGGAATATCATCACAGAGGATTAATTTTGGTCTTACAAAAAATAATTTAAAACAACTTCTCTGGTGCTTTGGTCCAGTAAGACTGACATGGAAGTCAGAAAGAAAAATAGAAGTTGTACTTCTCGCTCTACCTCTGTTACTCCATGTCGTTTTACAAGAGCCTATGTTCTATGAGGCTCAGTGTTACCACATTTAAAGGCTACCAATATCACCCTCACAGTGTTTTTTGATGGTAAATAACATTAAGTAAGATAGGATAATGAGAATGGACTCAATGCTTTGCAGAGTGAATTATGGCTTTAAGGATTTTCACTTTTCCATCATGGCAGGGACAAAAACAAAAGAAACTCTTTTTGTCATTTACTTGGCAAATCAACTCACAGTATACTATTTAGGAAAAAAGTGAGCATATCAAAATACCATTAATTAGAACTCATTTACGCTAATTTTTCAAGCTCATAATTAAACCTTGATTTTCTGCATTTCTTAAAAGTTTAGTATCTTTCAACTCATTTGAACCAAGGTTGCTGCTACAGCATCTGCTCAGGGAAATTCCTGCTGTAATGCTAGAGAAAGAAGAAAAAATACTGAGAAATTGTATTTATTTAATCTAGTGGTATTATTTAATGATAGATTTCTGCTGACTGTATGATAGACTCGGCTATGAATTAAAATTGGCCTGGAAATTTGGTTTGAAATATAATAGCTTTTTATATTAAGCAAAAAGTTTCTATTCGAATGATTCTAATGAAAGTATGCTTTAAAGAATTGAATAAACCATCCAGCTGTTGCTTAGGGCCAGCCAGCAATGCCCCAAGCCCATATGCTTTACAGGAATGTAACAGATCACTCACATTTTTTAACAGAATATTTTTGGTCAGTTATTACAAATCTCTTAGCCTGAAAAGAAACCAAAAAACAATAACGTCTCCCCTACTTTGTTTTCTTTTGACTTTTTACAATTTGCTTACTGTGCCCATTATGAAAATGCATCTTTTCCTCTTCTGGATCTTGTTTGGCTTTGCTGTAACCACACCGCCTGGAACAGAGTAAGCTACAATCAGCCACGTCTCTGAGTGGTGAATCATATCAAGCCCAGAAGAATGAAATACAATTGAACTGATTGCAACCCTAACCGATTTTCACACTAGAGGTATGAAATAACACCAATACTCCTTTTGGATGAATTTTATTTCCTCAGCCAACGTCCCTCACTCTTGCCCAGATTTCCCTGAGAAGTCTGAAGCCATCCAAACTTATTTTTAAGCTTCTCTTCTCCATGTACTATATGTACTATATACTATATTTTTTTAGTTTTTAATCATTCATAATGGACTGAAATCCCTAACTACCCCTTTTCTGATGCTTCTTGCTCTTCTCTTTATTTACGTGGACATTTCCCTAGGTCCTCTGCACGAACTTCTCCGGTTCTCTCTTGTCAATCCATACATTTACATCAATTTAACTAATACCTCTACCCCTCTGGGTTAATTATTTTAAGAGTTATCACACTGCCAATGGCCTTGGTCCCTTAAGATCAAAAGATTCATATGTACTTCACAACAAATTAGTTGCTAAATCCCAAGCATTATATAACATACAAGTCTTAAGATCCATATTTTCCTTTTCATTAGCTCTACCACCTCATCAATTAAGGCTTTGCTATTTTTCATTTGAAATCCTATAAGTGCCTCCGGACTGATGCCTGGTGCTCTATAAGTGCTTTCCTAAAACTCTACTAGACATGGCTGTAGCCAAATATTGTAAATAAGATACTTTTCTACTGTGTTAGCTGTCTCCTGCAAAGTCTTCAATAAAATAAGAAAGTAAAGATTCTTAAACGTAGACCAAATGCAGATTTTCTATATCATCTCCAACTGTTATCTTCAAGTGTACTAAAATTTATCCTCAAGGATCCAAGATATTTCTCCGTGCTTCCACACATTTGCATATACTGCTTCCTGAAGCTAGGATATTTTTCCTAACAATTTCCACTTAACAAAATACAATTCATTTTTTGCCTTCTTCATGTGTTTTTTTCTTGATATCCCAACTTAATGAAATCTTTCCTCCTCTGAACCCATCCTTCTGTACCCCTCTCCCGGGGTGACTCCCATTCTAAAATGCACATAGTCATTTGAGTATGTTTTTTGGCTCTCTTACTACTTGTCAGTTTCTTGAATGGCAGTAACTAGCATTCATCTATAAATTTCTGTGGTGATCTAGCTTCTGGCTCAGAGTCGACACCAAAAACATTTGTCACATTGATGAGTGAATAAATGAATGAGTGAACGATATTTTGATTGTATCTACACAATGACAAGTGTCTGGAGAGGGAATACACTGATGAATACTAAGTTGATGTAGTACATGATTAACCATATAACACTAAAACAACTGACAAATAAAAATATTTAAATTATTTTTAGCGAAACTCTAAGGGAGTGAATTTACTATTCATATGCTTCGTAACAAAAATGAGTTTATTAAAAACACAATTTTCATTTATTTCTGCATAAAGAAAATACAGCCAAAATGGCAGATTGACAACATACTTTCATTACAAGGTTGGTTGAAAACTACTATGTGATGCAAACGAAATGTCCAATTGACGTGTACTAATGAGGACTGTCTTTGATTACATATTCTAGGATGCTTCTTAAATATGTGGATATTTTTATATAAAAGGAAGCCTGTTTTATTCTATATTGTTTTTTAGTGTGTATTATACATGTATTATCAAAATAGATAACCCATCCTTATGCCATTTTTTGAAAAGATACAATTATTTTCATTTTATCATGTTAAAAATTGGCAATTTAAGAGTAAAGTACAGATGGTAAAATTTGAGTAAACTTGAAGCAATATACTTAATACATACAGTGTTTTTGGGTGAGGAAAAGTACACAGTGGGGATCTGGTGACTGTTCAACAGTTATTCATAACACTTAGATGCATTTGTCATTCAAGAGCCCTTAAAGACATCTTGAAAAACCCTCACCACAATGAAGTAGAGAAAAAAACAAATACATAAAATCATTCTGAAATTACATTTGGTCTATTCAAGCTGACACTTAAAGTATTTTAATACATTGCTCATAATTTTTCTAGATATTACATTATTCTTTCAATCTTTAATGTATGTGCCTCTAGAGAGAAATTATTGATACTTTTTTAAACCAATGTTTTAAATACAATTGTGTGAAATCCTGAAATTTATGGTTTTTAAGTAATACCGACAAAAAAACCTTTGTTAAAGGAATTCTAAAGAGACCTAAAAAGTATACAAGTTCTTGTCGTTTACATTAGAAAACAAACACCCATTCAACTCTCCCTTCAATTCTCCCACCTTCAAAAACAAAACGAAGCTTCCAAATGTGTAGCCTCAAACAGTCTTTATCATTAACTAAGCCTCATGGATTTTTAAACTGCATACAAATTCCTCATATGAAAATGGAAATAAAACTTTGGATCTCACCTAATGATTTGGGAATACCTTGGTGAGGAGTGGTTAACATTTTAACACCTAGGGTGGGTGTCAGGAGGGCAATAGAAAGGAGTTATTTTTGACTATGGCCATCTCTGGAGCTCTATAATATATACGGCAGCCTGTCACATTAACATATAAAATTAAGTTCTTGAACCCCCCAAAGCATCATTAAAACAAGCCTCAACAAGATAGAGCAACCTAAGTGCAGCTGGTAGAGACTGGCACTCAAGCAGTGGTTCAGCCTCGCTAACAGAGCATTGCAGGAAGCCTGTTCATTCTGTGTCATCTTCTGTACCTGCACCAGATGCATAATTTTAACCCATCAGACAAACAGTCAATAAATATGCCATTCTGTACAGAAATTACACCTCCTACATTCTGGAACCAATTTTTTTTTCTGAATGGAAAAGAAAACTTTCTTCATTTGGCTTCATATCGCAATTTTAATGAGCTTTGACATCATTGTACTAAAAATATCTGTAGTGCTGTAATTAGAAGAATCATCTTCTAGTCATTTACACTCATTTTTTTCTAGAAAACAATGTTTCATTTTTCAGTAGTAGAGGTGAACATAAGAAATCATATTAAATGTAAGCATTATTCATATTAACATTTATTAAAAAGTCATAGAGAGATGCTTAATATATAAACATAGCAATGACTTTATGGGTAATTTAGAAATCAATATATCTTCTCCCGCATTTATCCTAAGAAGTTGGTTGATGATATTAACACTGATCTTAAAAACTGGGCCCCAGCCATAACATATAAAATTGGACATTTGAAATTTCCATAGTACATGAGATAGTAAACAATAATTTTTATAGGTGGATAAATGTGCCAATGAGTAATTTAGTTCTTGGATGTAAATTAAGGATTTGATAATAAAATAAATCAAAGGTATGAATGTCAAGACCTCCAGGGTACCAAGCGATACACAGAATCAGTAATTTGCTAAACGGCACCCTTATGGCCAAAGAGGAAAGATGAATGAATGGAATAGCCAAGTGCAGATCCTTGCTCAATGATAGTCCTCACAGAATCATGTTTTTTCATTGCTTTAGCCTACAAAAAATAAACACTTTTCACCTTAATTCCAAACAAGGTGGAGCAGGGTGCAATGGTGGGAGATGGAATGGTTTTACATTTCGGTTTCTTTAAAAGAAATGCATATGTAGCATTAATGAGCATATGCAGAACTTAGCTCAGAAATGGACACTCCTATATTGTTCTTATATTGTTCTATTTTCCAGATTGATTAGAAAATACTTTACCTATACTTTAAACCAAAAATGTTTAAAGTTGACAAATTCCAGCAAAGATTAGAGTCAATATGTTTTGCTTATGGAAAATAAAAGCTCCTTGTAATTTTAGCCTCTTTTAAAACCACATTTCTCCATATATGCACACTCTCTCGTTCTGACATAATAATGACTTCAAACGCTGTATAATGCTGTATTTAAGATTTTATTGCTAGAATCTTAAAAAGAATAAGTTACAACATTTTGGGAAACAGTTTTACTTTTTCATTTCAAGATTCTCTCCAATGAAGCAAAGCTAGTTTTAATAAAAGCTCAGCTAACTCAGCCTCATAAAATAAAGAAGCATATGAACGTTAGCTTAATAATATATCTAATAAAACCTGGAAATAGATTGTTTTGTTTTACAGGATCACATTCTTCAATAAGAATGTGAGTGAAAATGCAGTAAAATTGGACATTGGATATTTAGCCTGTCTTGCTAGCAGGACCTTAAGATTCTCATTAATATACTCCTCATTTGCATAGTAGCATACTGAGATTTTGAGTTCCTAATAGATAGATGTAAGTTACACACAAGAAATGCAACTGATCTACTATGTTTGCTGAAAATTCTCAAATATACTTCTCAAGGAAAATGTACTCATGTTGAAAAACACACTTTCCTTGGATGTGGGAATGGAATGACGATTACACCATACAAAATGAGGACATAGCTTGCTAGGTTCCCATCTCACATTCTATCAAGGATACTAACTATTCTATGATTAATAGTAATGTGAGAAGCTAAGTTATTTCTTATTTTATGCTTTACATATCATTTTTTGTTTCCACATTCTAAAAGACAAAGAGAAAATGTCTTAAAAATAACACTTTCTAGAATAGTGTAGTACATATGAATTTGTAAATTTTTCATTGATGAGATCTTCAAATCTTTTCGAATTAGAAATAATAGGAAGATGAACAATTTCAAATACTTCAAATAACTCAAATATGAATTGTAGACTTTTCAATATTAAGTTAAATTTTAATTGACAAAATTTTGATATAAAAACATTTCATAAAGTATTACATGTGAGGATTAAGTCTCTCTGTTTTCGACAAATTTTGTTCTAATGCTAGAGTAGATAATTTCTACTAATTTTTAAACTATTTCATGGATGTGACCATTGGATTTCTAAATTAGAGTAGGCCAGCTTAATATCTTCTGTAGTCTGAGTTTCCACAGGTATTATAAAAAGGGCTTTTGGAGCAGTTCATAGTTATATTTTACATAGCAAGCCTTCAATTGGAATTTAATGTATTCTATATATATTGCAAGAAAGCCTCACATCCTCCTGCCGAAAGCACTTTAAATGGGGCTCTAGAATATTACAAAGGGATGATTCTATTTTCTATGTCTCTTTCCCAGGTCTACAAAATGGAATAGTACTTCCATATACCTCCCCAGCAGAAATCTTGTGAAGATGAATGAAATAATCTGTTGTGTGCATGAAACTAAAAATTTGCTTACTTCAAATTTCAAGAATATAGAGAAAAAATCAGTTCATTGACAAGTTGAGATAATAGTTAATGTTTTGATGTAATTCATGATCCTTTCGGTCAGAGAAATTTTTTAATCTCTGCATTATGAGAGACGCTAAAGTTTATCCCTTGTGTCTCTGATTAAAAATATTTAAAATTTTTTTCTAAAAAAACAAAACTGATTTCCTAAAAATCACAGAATAAGTAAATGAACAAAATAAGAACTTAATATTTTTATTTTCAGAATAGTGAACTCCATTTCCCTTGCCACAATAACCCCCCAGAAGAAACAGTAAGTGGTATGAAAACACTAGAAAGCATGAAAACTCATGAATGAAGAAAATAGCCTGACACATGTTTGAACTTAAGAAATGCAAGAAAAAGCTGCTTTGGGACTATTGGTTATTTCAGACAGACATAATAAATATCATGCTATAAATATATATTAGCTTTGTAAGCATAAACACAAATGAATACAAGGGATAAATGGTAATGTTATTTTAGAAAATACACACATGAATACCTTATTTACATTAAAAACAATTCAACACTGGATGTTTGTAAGAATAGACTTTTTTTGAGAAGTGAAACAATGATTAGAGTCTCAAGTCAGTTGTGATGACATAAAATCAACGATCACTGATAAAAATACCTCTGCTAAAAATGTGGGCAGTTTCGGGGATAGGGTGCCTAAATCTAGACATCTGGGTTTCATTCAGAAATATTACAGATACATCTTCCATCACTGGGTAGATTTCAGTGAAAGCAGGAAGAATATCTGAAATATTAGCATTATATATATATATATGTGCACAGATTTCACAACAAAGTGGGCAACTAGATTGATGAAAAATAATTTGAGATCAAAGGTGGCAACATGTAATTACCAATTTCATCTTATAAATGGCACACTATACATTTGAAAAATAATGGAGCATGCTTTCCAGGTGGGAAATATCCCAAAGTAAAACTCAGAACTCCAGAGCCTTGCAGAAGCTTTAGTATAGTTGAATTGCAGAACCAAAGATCTAGGTCAATGGTTTTGAAATTGTACTTTTCAGATCCCTAGATTTCCGCAAGGTATATTAAGGTACTTCTAAAAGCCAGTATATTTACAGTGGTCAATTTTAATGTACATATATGCATTGCATTATATTAAGATCAAAACCAACCACACATATATTCACTAGTAGTCTTTCAAGAAATGAAAAACTATGAAATTCCAAAATCTCAAAATGTCTAACAAACTTTCCTCTATAAATGCAAATATGTCTGTTCACAAATGATGATGATACAATGTTCCTTGGAAATTATTTATGTGGTAATTGACAAATGCTGGTATGACTATACATACAAAGTTAGGTGGCAAGACTTCAGGTCAAGATTCCTCAGTATTTTACTGATTCTGTTAGGAAAATTGTTCTTCTCAGCCCTTAATTTCCACCATTTAAGGTTGTTTTCTCCCAATGCTTTAATATAAACAAATAACATGTTTAACTGAAACCTCGTAGTGACTTGAAATTATAAAATGGAAGTTTAGAAAACAGCAATAAAAACATTTTACCTTCCATTTTTCTCCAGTAATAATTTTGGACAACTTTCTTACAGCCTAATTTATGTACGCCCAATTAAAGTTTGTTTCTTTTGCTTTATTATGTTTTGTTTTACTAAGAATGCATTAAAAAAATTCTGGTTCTTCCATAAACCTTTCCATGAAAACTGTTAGCATTTTATTGGGTACTTAAGTACATCTATGGCAAAATCATTTCTCCTTTTTTTTGGCACACACACACAAATATACACGCACACACACAAATATACTCACTGCCTCAATAATTGGTAACATTATTTAAAGATAATATGAGAAAAAAGTTTTCATCTTAGATTTCTTGGCTTGTTCTTTGTAAAGGAAGCATTCTGCCTTCCCACTTTTCCTCTTTTCTTTTATTTGTTTACTTTAGAAACTTCCTGAAGCCAAGTACACAGTAGACAAAGATACCATTTTAAAAATCAAGTATTTTAAATCCAGCTAGAGTTAGTTTTTGCCAATACTTCTTAAGCCATGGCTTCATAAATGTTCATACTCCCAGTAAGGTCTCTTTGAGATTTAGTTCAAGGGAAACCTGAATGTCAATCTTCATTTTTTCCTGAGAAGTAAATTCTGCCTACTCTGCTTCAGTGATGATTTATTTCTTATAACAACTATACTCAAGACTCAAGTAGACTGGCCAGCCCCGTGGCCAAGTGGTTAAGTTCTTGTGCTCTACTTCTGCGGCCCAGGGTTTCAACAGTTTGGAACCCGGGCTCAGACATGGCACTGCTCGTCAGGCCATGTTGAGGCGGCGTCCCACATACCACAACTAGAAGGACCCACAACTAAAATAAAAAGCTATGTACTCGGGGGATTTGGGGAGAAAAAGCACAAAAAGGAAAAAAAAGGAAGAAGATTGGCAACAGTTGTGAGCTCAGGTGCCAATCTTCAAAAAAAGAAAAGACTCAAGTAGAATGAGCAATTCAGTGACCATTTTTCTAGTTTTTCCTAGAGCAATAAAAAAACCCCCAAAACACAGTGTAAAGCCATTTATTTTATACCTTGGCCATTGCCACATTTTCAGGGTTTTATGGTTTGTCACTGAAGCCTCAAGCTTAAATAAGAATTTCCTGAGTAAATTAAATAATTTGGAACAAATCTGTACTTTCATATTAACTTGAAAACTTTTTTCAAATACAAAAATTTCAAAAGACTGAGAAAAAGATCTTTGAATTTTATCAGTTTGTTTACTCTCTCTTGTTCTCAGAAGACCAGTATCCATTCCACCGCTTCTCACATCTACATAGGCATGCACACTCATTCACACCACGGTTATTGAACCAACAAAAATTAATTGACATCTAGAGAATACAAGTAACAATTTAAAATGCCTGAACGAAACCCTATAATTCTCTAAAAGGCATTTCAGAATCTTTTCCTTGCGAATTTCAATACAGTAGCACAGGGATTTAGACTCTAATCTAGAAAGAAATTATCCGAAGTATTTCACTTTTTACAAGGTAGCTCACTACTGTCTAAATCTGTGAATACAGCTCTCTGGTCTCATGTTTTAGCCCACAATTTTATAGCTATAACCCAGATACATATTTATGATTTGCATTTGTAAATAATTGACTGTCTTATTTGGAACTGATCCCCAAAATATGCATATTTTTTACTTCACTGGTATCAAATTAGGAATAGCACTTCTAATGTCTGAAATAATTCAAGGTTAAAAATCTGAAGTAAACCATGAAAAGTACACGTGGTTCTGTTCTCCAATGCCACATGTATCCACAATAATTATGAAAATAGAAGAGCCCAGGTATGTTATGGTCCTTCCATGGTTCTGGGAGACAGAACAGGTGATTTCACCTTGACAGAGTAGCCTTCTACTTCCATGTATGATAATGATTTTAATCTTAATGGAACAACAAAAACAGCGACATGTTAAATGTAAAACAGATTCTACAATCTTACCACTTCCTGTCTTAAATCAAGACCATGGTAAAAGCCTTGGAAGAGATGTATGAATGCTTGACATAGGGATGAGGTACTATATGTATATTTTACTTGAAATTGTCCATTGTGAAATCACTTGGGAATCAGTTTCATTCTGCTCTGCTGTTAAGGCATAACCAGTGTACTAGCGGTTAAAATGTACACAAATGGAAAAAAAAAAAAAGGAATGCTGACGATCATACATATAGGTGGGACATCACATAGGAGTGAAAGTGGGAAGGGAACACTAACCATATTAGGCTTGGATGGGCAACAGCGCACAGGGAAGAAGCCCTTCCACAGCCACATTCGCAGCAACTGAAAAGCAAACAAGAGAGCCCAAGATAAGGAAGAGATCCCACTCCCTCTTATAGCATAAAGACACTATGAATTTAGACAGGCGTCTGCTTTGCTTTTCAAAAGCAACAATCCCTACATGCATACAATTAATTTCTTTCCACAATGCCTTTCAAATTAAGAAGCATTATATGGATTTAAGAAATACAGAACTGTATTAGTTATTTTTATTTTACTTAAAATGCTTATTCAGTAGGAAATATAATGAGCCCATGTGTTTGATTATGCAATTCATATAGACATACAAATAAAGATGTAAGCCCATTTAAATATATCTTTCCTCAAAAATTCCTGCAAAATTTATATTCGGAAGACATTCTAAATAGCCTTTTACAAACATTTTGCATAGAACCTACAAATTTAGAAGGGAGAATAATGCCTCGCTCATTCGACCCATAGATTTCTTATACCAGTGGCATTATTTATCATAACCTATTGAAAATGTTATGCTTATGTGACTTCTCCAGTCACTTATGGAAGTCTCTCAATTTAAATTTACATTTTCAGAATTAAAAAAATGTATCTCCAAATATATACTTGCAGAGCTATTGCCATATAAAAAAAGCAAACTATGTATAATACATGCACTTTTCTGGATATCACAACACTCAAAACTTTTAAAAATTTTCCACATACTCAGAGTAAAAAATCCAGAAAATACCAAGCAAATTGCTTAATAAAATGCACTTTATTGTTAGAAACCACATAAACTGATAGCAGAACATAACATAGAATTTATTTAGTGCTTCAATGCATTCACTTTCCAGGATAGTTATGAATAGCATTTATAATGATTTCAAGAGAATTGTGGAATGAGCTCAGTAATGATACTGTATACAAGCAGGTTAGGCTTTTGTCTAAAATACGTCTATTTTGAACTTTATGTGAAATGTATCTGCTCTATTTTATAGCAAATAAGGAGAATAAAATAAAATATAAACATCTAATAAACCTGGAAATGCTAATAAGGTAGAAAAGTATTTCCAAATCAAATGCAAACGGATCTTTTTTAAAGGAAGTGGGCATTGTTCTGTATATTTTCTTTGGAGTATTGATGATACTATAATTTTTATTACTACTAAATGTCTGAGAATTTGGGTGCCACTAAAATAGAATCATAGTAAATTAAAAATTTGGCTACTATGACATTTACTTCCAGTTTGACTGTTTATTATATATATATTTTAAAGAATATGCCAAATAATTATTTTCACTGCAGAGGTATTGAAAGTTAAAGTCAATGTATTTCTTAACACAAAAATGTTAAAATGTTTAAAGAGTCGGTAAAACATCTGTAAAATACCTTGACAAATCTTGATATACTTCTTTATAATAACATTTATTTCATTAGTGTCTTAAACAATTGCTGATATCTTGTATATGTTAACTTCCCTACTGTTTCTGTTTGTATCAGCACTCAGATTACGGGTCTGCAAACTAAAGCCCATGGACCAATTCTAGCCTACCACTTCTTTTTGTAAATCTAGTGTTATTGGAACACAGCCACACTCAGACTTGTTGTTTATGGCTTCTTTAGTGCTATTATGACAGAGTCGAGTAGTTGTGACAGAGAATGTAGGGCCTGCAAAGCCTAAAACATTTACTACCTGGCCCTTTAAAGGGAGTTTGCCTTCCTCTTGTCATAGACTGTTAGTGTCTTGAGAGGAAGAGGATTCTCTGAACTTTTATTTCCTTCACAGTTGAAGCATAATAATTGATACCTGTAAGTAGTCAGTGTTTTACTGTAATTGGTATTAACTAACGGCATGATTATCACAATTTACTGATACTATCTCAACTGATATTATCTAAATTGAGGTAGTATCTCAATTTACTGGTAGTTTCCATATATATGCTAACTTCAAACAGCATAGTTCCAGTTCAATTACTAATAAATAAATAATTGATGGTTGACGAATGTATCCAATTGATTTTTAGTGATAAAATGATGATGCTGTCTCCTAATAAAGTACAAACATCCTTCTAGTGAAATGTGCACAGTTTATAAACTCAGGTAGAATTGTGCTTAGGGAGGCAACAACTGCACTGTGATTGGCCATTACCTGATAGGATTTATTTAATACTTGGTCAGTGTTCTATGACTCAAAACACACACTAATGATTCTAAAAATAATAACATTTCGTTCAGTCCTCTTAATTTGAAAAACTATAATGTTTTTGTTTTACCAATTAGTACATACACACACACACACACGCATACATGCAATTCACTGTAACATCAATCCACAAATTTTAGTCCTGAAGAATTTAAATCACTTTACCTATCATTAGAATTCTAGTTTATAGTTTTAACAAAGTTTAATCAAAAAATCTGAAATTATATAAAGTCAAACACTTGTGCTTCTATTTTTTCTGAGTCATGGTTTTAGATCCACATATTCCCAAATGAAGTATACATAGGAACTAAATAACTAATTACATTCAGACCAATTCTTATAAATACAGAAAGGTCAATGTAATTTTTTAAAAAATCATTTCCACAAAATACATTTTCTAAAGATTTAGTGATCAGAGCAAACTGTGAATTAATCTGTTATGAAGAAAATTAAAACTGAAGTTCCTTTTCTATGAATATCTGAAGTGGAATAATAACAAATAACTCTTTTTAAATAAACTCTGAGGATGCTGTCACAGTAACACCTCAGCACCAGACAGTATAAAGAATATGTTCTTTCATTAATCAATAAATACTTGGAGAAGTACAGGTTGAAAATTCTTACAAGCCCCAGAGATAACTTAGAAATAGAAACCAAAACGTGCTAGAAATATCAACTGATGTATGCTATGTGAGCCACGGCTCAACACAGAGGACGTCTGCATTCCCATCAGTTTTTAGCACCTGGCAGCCTGTAAGCAACTGCATGCAGCTATAACAAGAGCATTATTATCCAAGTTTAAAAAAGTTTAGCCCTCCCAGGCTTATAATCAAAAACTGTTGGTCTTTGTTCTAACAAGATATTTTGATTCATCCTTCAGAAGATTAAAATATGATAAAAGAAGCTTTCCAGACCCAAAGAAGATTCATATGAAATTCCTTTAGCCAGGAATTAACACAGAGCTGATTAATATATGTATAAAGTGTGTCACTGTAAGTAAGATAACTGCCTTCCTGCCAAAACAAGGTGATTATAACTCTAGGGAAGAAATTCTTAAAGATACTACGTCAGAGAAGCAAGACTACAGGTTGTGGATAAATGATGACTTAAATTCTTAAACAGGAGATCATACCATTGGCTAAGAAAAACACTAAGAGCCTAACAGATAAATGAGAGAAAGGCAGAAAGAGTAATTTCACAAAAGAACTACTTTTATTAGATGAAAAGTATTTTTAGTTTACTGGTGAAAAAAAAAGGGGGGGAAGAAAACTAAAAGGGTGCGTAGTTCACCCATTTTAAATAAAACAACAGCAAATGATGGTACTCAGTGCTGGGGAAAACAGAGTGAAGCTTCTACCCTCCTAAGTGGCACCAATCCTTTAGAAAACAATCCTCCAAAACCTATCAACGAGCACTAAAAATGTTCTCACCTTTTGACATCACTGTGTAACACAATATTTAAGATCACTGTGTTTATAGTCAAACTAAGAGTAGTCCTGGATGTATCCATTACTAAATGCATAGTTTTGGGTAAAGCAGTCATTGACATAAATGAGATAACAATAGAAACTATATCACATAGGGTGGCTTTGCAGAATGAGTTTGACAATCCATGTAAAGCTCTCTCCACTGTCCTGGGACCACAGTCAGCACTTTAAAAGTGTTTAACTGATATTGTTATAACAACAGTCATAGCAAAAAAAGTGGGATGCAGACAACTGGCATGAGGCAGGCCATAGATTTTAAAGGAACTAAGTGACTAATAAATATTTTTCAGTAAACAAAATATATTTGTGGAGTCTGTGATGCAATGAAAATAAACATGATAATTTTTTAAAATTAGGTAAAAATCAGTGTGCAGAAAAATAAAATGATGGCCAAAATGTATACCAAACTTCTAAGAGCTATTGTATTGGAGTGTTACATTAACTCACATTATCGAACAGTTATTTTAGTTTTCTCTGATTTCAAATTATTTGTGCTTATTTAACTTTATAATTTTAAGAAAATTAAGCAAACTTAAACAATTCTAATTATGATGCCTATCGCAATATACAATCATTTACACCCTATCAGTTTTTAAATGATAAAAATAATTTAAACATGTAACAAATATTTACAACAAAAGAAGTTAAAGAAATTGTTCACTGGTAATTAACACACACAGTCTTAATTGTTTAATATATTTCTTAAAATATCTTATAATGCAATAACTTTTGCATCTGTGTCTTAATTCACTGCTACTCTTCTAACATTTAGTACTAATTTCCTGATGAAGCCAGGCTAAAACTGCAGAAATCTGTTTGCAAAAACAGGGAAAGGAATAAAAAGCAGAATGATAACATATGTGGTTCCCAAACTCTACTCTTCATTCTCAACAGTTTTGACACAAATGCATAAAATTATTCCAGCCTACAAGAGCAGGTAATGCAAAATGGATAGAAAGAGCTTTTTATTTAATTCGTTTAAGTGTGTTTTTGAGTAACTCTGAGGGGAATGACACATCTGTAACACATGCTGGGGTTTATATGTGCAGTCTAATCACTATTTCCAAGTTGCAGTCCAGACAAATAGGAACAGGTTACAGTTATATGCAGTAACTTTTTAATCTTCTTTTCCAGCTCTCTGTTTCCCTCTGACTATAAAGCTTCTTACCCCCCATCAATGATTATATGTGTCTCCCTATTACCCTCTAGGTCCCTTTATCAAAAACTGTTCTATCTGAGCACTAGTGCTTGGTAGATGAGTTTTGAAACATCGTTTTATCTCTTAGTCTTACCTAACCAAGGTCCAAGCCTGGCACTCTCATACCTTGCTGTGAAATAATAAGAAATATATAAATTG